CCGCTTCTAACGGAGGCGAATGGTAAAATTCCAGGGGCACCCGACGGCCGAATGTTTCCAAATACATCAGAAGTGTCTCAAATGGTATTCACCATGCTTTAGAAGCCGGCTTGATTAATTTGGAGCTACCCTAAAAACTATTTTTGAGTGTTCGGATGCTTTAGGGGAACTTTGGAAGTTTTTGGCAGGCTTTCTGTCGCAACCAAAATTGTTAGCTACCCTGATAGATCAGGTCGAAAGTTCGAGGACACGGAGTAGCCGTGCGTACTTTCGTAAGAATTTTCAAGGAGAAATTTTCTCTTTATGCCGAAATTTTCAGTAGACATACTCTTTCAACAATAATCGCAATATCTTGGTAAGAAAATCTGAAAAACACAACCTCAGAAAGTCTAAGGAAAGTTCGAAAGTCCGAATAATAAGAAAAACGAATAGAATGGATATCCAAAGAAATTTTAACCTTTCTTGAGTTTTAGAAAAGTCAAGGCAATATTGACAATATCTGCAGATACTTTATAGAAAAAATCGTTGTTTCCCTTGAAATTTCCAAAAGGACTGAGGCTAACCACCTCTTATACATGTATACATGAATTGTTAATAACGCGAAACAGGTCTGTTTTTAACTTGTAGAGACTTAAGAACGTAAATAACCTTAACTTTCTATACCTTACTAAGCTGGCCACAAGAACTTCGATTTTAAAAACAAGGTCCATGTTGCAGTAACTAAAAATCTTGCCAAATGGTAAAAGAAATCTTAACAGAACTGTCAGGAAAAAAAGTTTCCTCTATTATTTGCGATTTTACAACTAACTTCTAACTACAAACAGAAGTTTATTTCACTGACTTAAGTTTAATCGAATTTAAATAGAGGATTGGTATTTTCAAATTATTTCTGTCAGTGATATTTTTAAGTTAGATAGAAGGTGAACTATAAACTTTTCAGAAGCCCCCGACATGAAGTTTTCTTGCGACGTGACACGAATGAATATGCCAGTTTAAAATTTGCTTGAATTAAATTGCCTCACAAAGGATACTATCAAAAACTGTAAAATGGCGAGACAAGTTCAATAACTTTTAAGTCTCTATTACCTGTAATATCGTCTTTTTGAAATTCTCACCATCATTTGCTAGGAAAAGATGAAATAAAGACTTTTCCCCCATTTGCTGAGAAAACTTGAGTATTTCATTCTTCCGACATTACATTGAATACAGATTGAAGATTTAAAGTGTAATTGATCCGTCGGATGAGTTTTTCCTAACTTTGTTGATCTTTTTCTGTGAAACAATTTATCTTTTTGATACCACTGGCTAATTGACAACCGCTTTTATGACTCTCTGCAACGGCTAACAAAAGTGTGCACCATTAAAAAATAAAAGACGCGCCTATAAAATATAAATCCAAAGTTAGCGAAAGTGACACTTACTTTGATATGTTGCTTTGGAAGACACAGTGACAACCACAAATAAGAGGGAACAGAAGACCAGCCTATAATCCATGGCTAAGCCTAAAAATAAATGCAAGCCAAATAAGCTTTGATTGATATTTGACCTGATAAGTCAATACGACAAGTTATCTTCAGCAAGTCAATGATTAAAACAGAAAAGCTGTTCCTCACCTTTCCAGTACAGGGTAATCCGCTATATGTGGCTTCAATTGTAGGGTCAGTTGTTTTATGATAGCTTGCCAGTAAATAATTAACGATATTCATTTTGTCCAATGCAGGGATCGTGGCAGTCAGCTATTGTGTTCACGCTTGGTTTCTTAGAAATTGTTTACAATAGATATCTACCGGTAAATAACGGCACTATTAATAAGTGTCAAAAACAAGTGTTTTCTAAACTTACGAGCAAACATATAGCGGGTGTCTAATTGTTTGGAGAACGAAAAGCCGACTATAACTTGAATAATTACCTATCAAGACCAATGAATACTCGCTGTTATCCCACTGAAAACCATCACTCCAAAAAACACTAACCAGTTACAGGATTTACTGACTCGGAAATATCGTGGAGGTCTATATCCATTAATCTTTTCACTCAAGTTTGTTTTCCTTGAAACTAGCTGGTGCTGNGGTAAATAACGGCACTATTAATAAGTGTCAAAAACAAGTGTTTTCTAAACTTACGAGCAAACATATAGCGGGTGTCTAATTGTTTGGAGAACGAAAAGCCGACTATAACTTGAATAATTACCTATCAAGACCAATGAATACTCGCTGTTATCCCACTGAAAACCATCACTCCAAAAAACACTAACCAGTTACAGGATTTACTGACTCGGAAATATCGTGGAGGTCTATATCCATTAATCTTTTCACTCAAGTTTGTTTTCCTTGAAACTAGCTGGTGCTGGATAAAGATTGGTAAGAAAATGACGATATGCATAAACGATGCTGCCGGTGTTTCAGTGTTAAGTGGTCCGTACAGCGGAATTCAATTGGTCCTTCAATAATCACTTTGAAATCAGTTTGACGTGAGTCAAAAAATAATGTTTGACTATAATCAGCAGAAGGTTTGAAATTTTGCAAGTTTTAGTTTGCCATCGACTAATGAACTGTTTCCTTATCTTTTTTTTCACTACAGGTAAATCGGCCCACCCACCCCTCCCCTAATCCAACATTATCACTTAGTTCTCACTTAGGGCAAAATGTTGGCTTAGGGGAGGGGTAGGTGGTTAGTTTCCCACCACCTAAATTGATCCGGCGAATTGACCCCTTATTTAATTCTGCTTAGGATAGTATTTTTTTTAAGTCGATCTATGACCTTTCCAAAGTGCAAAAGAAAAGAAAAGAAAAGAAAACGGTAAATTGACGGTGATTCTACTAACTGGAAAAGTGAATTCTTTTGGATATTATACCCCTGTTCCAATGACATTATTTATGGTAAATTAAAAAATTTGAAATTAGCGACTTTTAAGCCAACACCAGCTACAGCTCAACAGGTGACAGACACAAACACTTTTCCATGAGAGACTTGATTTGTATTTAATTTGAATAGAGCACTATCTAAGGGTCACAAACTTTACTGAAGCTTGAAGGCAAAAACTGGAACAAATACAGCCCAAACCGAATCGATTTACAAAGGAAGTATAGCACTCCCGCTTTCTGCAATGCTTTTTGAAGTGATCAAGAAAGAAAGAAAACTGTCACAGTTTGTTGGTTCCTGTTTCAGCTTCATCAATTCCTAGTGAAGCGTTTGAAATCCGAGGGGATGAAGTATCGCAGTTTCGACAACATTAATTTTCCAAATTAAAAATTTTTTGGCCGATGCGTTATTCAACTATCACGTGATCCCAAGAGTCTTCTGTAGACGACAGGCTACAAACAGTGGAACGAAAATGCACAACAAGCCTTAAGTCCTCTTCAAATGCTTCGGTTAGTCTCTGAGTTAAAAGGCAGGAGTCTTCGAAGGAAATCCTTATTTGTAGCGTTGCGTAAGCTAAAGCTCAAACTTCAAAGTATCAACATTGGAAAAAAATTTCACTGAAATATAAAAAACTACTTTTACTGAATATGAAGCACTAAAACGGTCACATGCAGGATATGGATCGTCGTGTTAGAACTACGTTAAATGGGGACACCAAAGGAACCTCCAAACTGACATTTGTCTTAATGGCAGTTACATTTTCTTCCCACAAAATAAAGAAAAAGTAAATCAGTGATCGCCCTTCAATGTTGGCTGTTTTAACCATAGTCTCTCCAACAGACACTCCGTAAAAGAGACTAAGTTTTCACTTTAATTTTTCCGTGACCGGTTATTTTCTTCAAATACGTCACCCTTTTAAAATGGCGGCGCGTTGGGAAATTAAAGGCGCTTCGTATGAAAATTTAAGACATAGTTTTTTGGTGAGTATTTCTTAGCATGTATATAATAAAAGATGTTAGTCGCTATTTCCCTTGTTACAAATAAAAAAAATACATTAAAAACAGGGACATTCAGCTTTCTGCGGGGGAGGGGGGGAAGGTAGACGACCTTTTTTCAAGTCGTGAAAATCAACGCGTTTCACTCTGTCCAGTCATTATTGCTATTTGTTTGCTGTTGTTATTGTTTTTATTTCTATTGATGCCAACAAATTTTTGTTTACCGTAATCGACAAATAAATCCAGCCAGTGGTCAGGGCAGAACACGAACTCGGGATACTATGAATTGTTGGTCTGACCCCCGGTCTGACCCCCGGTCCATCACCTCCAGTTAGCACAATATATCATCAAGCAAAACAATTCTAGAAGGTCAACTTTGAATTTTATTCGTCTAATATTAAAAAGAAAATAATAATTATAATACGTACGGCGTTGATATACAAAAGCGTGTTGTTCGTAAAAAAATAATTTACACACACAATGAGAAAAACTTTTTTAAAAAAATGCCTAACTAAACTAACAAACTTAAGTTTGCTCTGTTCTGGTTTGGTCCTTGTTGTCTATTTAAGATGTTAGATCTGCATGGTTTGACTAACTTGTAAAACACACTGACGTTCGTTTAAGGATGCAGCATACAAATTAGTTGCCTTGTAAGAATCAGTTTTCCTCTGCACGATTAAATCATGATTAACGTACACTGAAGTTCATTTGAGGATGCAACATACATCTGAGTGCGCTTGTATTAAAACAGTCTTCGTGTGGAAGGTCTGAATGCTTCAACTTATAACGCACATTGCGGTTCCATTCAGGATGAGGCTCAAGAAAGCTTCTTTCTTGAGAATAATAATGCTCGTGTGGACATGATGAGAGAGTCTGTTGGGTTACTGATATACTTTAGGGTCATTTCAAGAGTGTAGTCTGCTGAAATTGCTAGGCGGCTCACTTCATAAGTTTTAAAGCGAGCCTTGAAGGTTGAGAATTGAAAAAAAAAATGTTCTTCCATGAAAAAAGAAGCATTAAAAGAAACGAAACCATTCTGATCGCGATTCCAGCGGTTGATATCATCTTTGGCAACTACCAGAAAAAACGCCACAACCTGGTGATGCATGGGTCAAGCTACAAGTATCTGCCAGGAGCTATTGATTACTCACCAAGACTCGAAGTGTTTAGTGTTTCGTCTTCGCTTTCTTCAGTGAGCCAATGTAAAGGATCTACTTCTTCGTGTGTTCTTACTTCATTGTCTACGATATGCTGGCCGGAGGACATGAATTGCGCAAATCTGGAAAAGAAGTTCGATGTGAACATTACTTATAAAAACCCTAAGCATCTCTTGATTCAGAAAACAGATTACAGCTGTAATCTGTAATTTATTGATTTAGCCAAGCCTAAAAGCGAAGCTTAAGCATATATACTAATAAAGCTATAAACTTTAAGCCATTGCAACAATCAACTTTAGTAGGAGCCCTCTGTTTACCTTTTGACGGAGGGGTTAGGTTACGTAAGGAAAAAATATCCTACAAAAATGCTTACACTGTAAACAGACATTCAGCTCTTCAAAAGTCGTAATTCCTTAAACTTCAAGAGCCAGTTTAAATGCATTGCGGTTTCATTTAACCCTTTAAGCCAAAATACACACAAATTGTCCTGACTGACCTCCATACACTCCCTTAGAAAATACGCTGCCCAGGAGAATTTGAGAAAAAAAAAAAAGATCAAAGCATTTTCCGTTTGGTGATCAGTTTATTGATTCTCTTAAGCTTTTCAGCTGATTATGTATTGATATAGTAAGGAGAAAATTGAAGTTGATCACTGTTGGAACGTAAAGGATTAAGAGTCAAATATAAAATGTAAAAGGAAAAAGTACATGTAAACAGTAAAAAACTAAAAGTGAGTAGAAAAACTTTCCCATTAATTTTACGAATAGGGCAAGAAAAAAAGGATGTGACACGAAATCTAAGGTAAAAATAAACCAGCTAAACTTCAAATTTATTGGACTTCTATACAAGGTTTTTGCAAGAAAAGAGTATTGAGAATACTTGTGGAGTCAAAAAAGGAAGCTAGAATGGCGATTTTCGTGCGAATCGTCCAACCGACACACTCCGCCTTACTATTTGTACCATGATATTAAAGATTGCGCTACTCGACGTTAAGCTTCAGTTTCAACTCAGTGAAACTGCAGAAATCAAAGTGCGACCATTCAAGTACAACTGCAAGCCAATATTTAATTATTTTCGTTTCCTTTACATTTTCCTTCAGTTTTAATTTCTCTCTTTTTTCCTTGATTTGTTCGCTTTTCTACGCGTTAAACAAAATAGTAATTCGATGAGTTTCCGCCCCGAGGTCCAACCCCTTACCCTTTTTGCTGCGGAGCGACCGAAGGGAGCGAGCAGCAACATAATCAGGATTTAAAGGAAATATATAAGGGGCGACGAATTCTCGAATTCATCACTTTTTACCACAATGCATTGCATTTAACCAGAGTGCATTGCGCCACGAACAACTCAAATAAAAACACGGGGAAGTTCGGTGGGTGAGAGAGTGCATCGTTCGCTGCTCAGACTTAGAGTTTTCTTTGTGGCAAATTTTCTACAGCACGGTTAGAGGTCTTACCAAATTTTAAGACACGCAGGAGTCTTTAAGAAGAGTACGATGGTTAACTTGGGGATTGGATTTCAATTCAAGAGCCTTTTTTGCTCTTCGACTCCGCAACACGGGGGATATACAAATTCCAGCTTGCTAGAAGGTGATGTGAAAGTGAGAAAATGTCATGCAATGCTATTCTTAAGAACCTGTATGAGCCGAAAATGGATGTGATTTTGACCATTCGCTTCAAAATAACAGCGGAAATCGAGATAACAAAACAAATGTTTTGTGTCCTACTTTGCAGACGAGGACGTGTATCGGCGTTTTGAAAAGCATAATTATGTTCTTTCATTCATTTATTGCCATGGAATATCCGTTTACATTGTTGTTTTTCTACTGTTAATAGCTCGGTTTATGCGGCTGGCGATCATCTTGCCGGCGGAAGTTTCATGGGAAAGGAATAAAATCAAAGACTTTTCCTAAGGACTACGTAATCAGTCTCTGTGGTGTAGTGGTTAAGTGTAGTCGCGTCGAGTCGAAGGTGCCGAGTTCGAATCCTACTGAGTTATTTGTTCCTTCTTTCTTTTTTTTCCCGCTTTTTGTGTCGTTGTTTTCTATAAATATATAGCTAAATAACTGTTACTTCATAAAGCGCAACAAACAGCAAGAAAAGTATTGTGTTTCCAGAGAAAATATCGTGCACCCTATATTAAATATATGGATAAACGATCTGAATTTCTATCATTTCCTACAATTTACTGTGGGAAAACCAGAGTTGATAACCACTTGATAATTTTCTAAACAACGTTCCCACGAGTTCTTTCTATATAGACTGATAGTAATTATTCTAGTACTTTCCAACATGTAAATAGGACATTCAATGTCACTTTTGATTCTTTTAAGTCTCACTGCCCAACTAATGCCAGTATCAACAGAATATGCCGCAGAATTACTATACCCCTTTGACTGTAGAACATTGCATCCCTTTTAACTACTGTAAATACACAGTCTTTAACATATGGATAAGTATAGGTAATAGCATGATTTGTAGTGATATTTGGTATAAATACCACGAGTGATATTTCAAAATTGTTATACGTAATTTCACGAGCCGTTAGGCGAGTGAAATTTGAGACAAATTTGAAATATCACGAGTAGTATTTATGCCAATTATCACGTTAATCATGTTATTATTTGTTTACACTACTACCCGCAAAAGGTTTGTAATTTTCACATGTAGGTATTTCAAATTAAGCTGAAAAACCACTGCTCTAAGCCAGTCAAATTGCAGAAATTTCTCATGTAGTAGTATAAATCACAGAACCACGACGTTTTCTCGATTTTTTCACAGCCATAAAACGCATCTGTTAGCCTTTTCACCGATTTCCCTACCATTCCATACATTCGACAAGTGAATCCCTTCTCTTTCATACACCCGAAGCGTGAAAAAGGTACCCCTTTCGGGCGGATCCTCCCCGTTAAGGCCACCATAGGGAGAACCCTCCCACCGGGATGGTAACATACCTAGTGGGATTTTGCAGCCGACTAACAAGGCGCCATGTATCGCACTCGGGACTGCTGCAATATTCTCTAAGATCTTCTAAAGCTCTTCTAGTTTCTTCAGTTCCCTGCATCATGTATTCCTCCTCGGAAAGAAATGTGTGTCTTGGAGGAAAGAAGAAATAATAGATTCTGTAGGAAACCCTGCGAAAAAATAAATAAATAAATAAATAAGCAGTGTAAATCAGCGGAATTACAAAAGGCAGACAACACTTGTTCACGATTATTGTTCGTAATAGGTGGCCAAAATATGTTTGATCTGCTAAAACTTAATGACACCTCAGAGGCGTAGAGTAAGGTTTTGAGAGTGTACGCAGGGAAAGAAAGGTTAGACCTGCAAGGTACTGTAAACTAGGGGGAGTGAGGGCATGCTCCCTGAGAACTGAAAGGTTTCAAATTTAGGGGCTCAGAAATACCATTTCCTACGTTTTCAGTAAATTAGCTGTTTGATTTACACCTCGAGTATTATCGGAAGGGTACCGTGGTTACGGAAAAAAGGGTAAAACATCAAGGAGGTTACAATCAAAGGGTGAGATGCCCTCAGACGCGAAAATACACCAATATAATGGGAATAATAGGACAAAGAGGGAAACTTAGGGCGTTGGCCGGGATATGCGAACTTCACTTAAGTTATTTTTAGAGGTTGCAATTAAACGGAAGTCTAATTCCCAGGACGTCCGCGTTTGAAACGTCATCAAGTCCACGCCTGACTGCCTTAAAGCAAACAACGGTGTTTTCCTCTCTGTCCTATAATTTACTCTTGGCAGCATGAATGGTAGCCTTACCAGTGTTGCGGAAGCAGTCTGAAACAGAAGATAAGGATGCCACTTCTGCGAATTATATGAGACGAAACCACAGTAATACACAGAGCTATGGAGACCTCATCTGACCTTGTACTCATGTACAGCAGGCTCAATCCTATAAGCTGCAGCATCCAGCGAATGAGATCCAGTCCGCGGTCGCTGGTTACTGGGCCGTAATAATAACACACACCAAAGCTTATGAGGCCTGAAGAAAGCCGGAAATAAACACAGCTGTTATACAGCGTAATACGTTGACTAGGCCGTAACAACAGCAAACACATAAGCTTCTGATGCCTGACGAAAGGAAAAAACTCTACTGTTATAGAGCGTAATACGACAGTCAAAGAGTAGGAGTTTTTGAAAAATACAGACCATAATAATCTTTAATATGCAGGTTTTCCTTTTCGCATAAGAGACCTTTAGATTCTATTAAAAAACGAGAGCGCGACGACGAGGACGAGATTTATTTTTCTCAATATTAATTAAGTAGTGCGCACGCGTGATCCAGCGTTCTTTTGGCGGGAAAGAGCGATAGCCGTCTTCAATCTACTACGGGTTTTAGCAAGAATGTCGTTTTGGCGGAAACAAGTTATTAAAATGTTCGGAAATGTATTATTTTGCGATCGGCAGAGGGCTTAACCTCCTTCAATAAAAAAAACCGTACTAACGTTTCTGCTGAAAAAGAAAAAATTAAGGACAATGAAGTTTTCCGGGTTGTCTATGTACGTTTAGAGAATATCCGCGAAAAAACTTGTGGTTAAATCTGGTCCTCATATCTATAGGTCTCTTTTGTGACATACCTATAACAACAAGATATCCAATGACCCACTGGTTGTGGTTAAGTAGAAGGTCTTTTAAGTTACTCCAAGTCCACTGGATTAAATAAGCACCCAGACTCCATCCTCCAATTAAAACAGCATATGCACCTCCTCTCTGAAAAGAAATGACCACACAACAACAACATTTAAAACAACGACTCCAATACATGTAAATGCAATAAACTTCCCGAAAGGATATGCTTTTTGTCCTGCCATACGTTTTTGACTTGGACACCCAAAACGCGGGGATTAGGCTGCGTTCTCATGAGGTCGAACGCAGTGAAATATAACAATTAAACACGGCGGCCTCAGTTGCGAAAATGGCATAAAGCAATATGCTGAAATATTGACAACAATTGTTAAGCAAATGCATACATGCACGTTCAACATTCTTAAACTTCCTATTGCCAGCATAACAGGGGTTAACGTTCACCTCTGCTCGCTTTACCCCAGGACTTTGTCTAAAACATCACCCCAAACTGCTTTGTCTTATCCAAGGGATAAGTCTTAACAGTGGCCCTAACCTTTTTGTCTCACCCCAGGGATTAATCCGTGTAGCATGTGGACAAGCAGAAGAAGTGACATGATAAGACCAAGTGATACACCAGGGCTCGGTTGTTCAAACCTTGGATAGCGCTATCAACAGGCGTTATTGATTTCCATAATACTTATTCACTGGATAGTGATTTATCCGGTGGATAGTGCTCTCCAAAGTTTGAACAACCAGGGCCAGATCAACAAAAGAACAAGCTGTTTCTGGAAAGAAAATACTCCAAGGTTAGGTCCTAACATTGACCCCACACCGTTTTTTCTTACCCCTGGAATTAGTCTGTGCAGTATGTAGACAAGCAGAAGAATTGACATGATAAGACCAAGTGATACACCAGATGAATAAAAGAACAAACTGTTCCTGGAAAGAAAAAACAGCTCATTAATAATAGAAGAAACATTAACAACAGATTCACAGCTCTCCTATCTTGTGCGCATAAAGCTTGCAAGAACAACAACAAAGAACAAAAGTGCGACTTTCCATAGAATCTGCTTTTGATCAGTTTACTTTACTGCACCATGGGCAATAACAACATCAAAGGAATAATTATGGTGTGGAAAACAACTAGACCTACTACTGAGGCGCAATGCTACAGTGTAGTTGTAAGCATACAATAGACCTCCCTCACGCAGCGACCATTTTGTCTCAGTAGACTTAAAAAGCTTTGTTTATGCACAGCTAGCCTCGTTCTCTCTAAGAGGCTAGCCATGCATAAACAGAGCTTTTTAGACAAAATGGCCACCCCAAGACAAAGGTCTATTGGCAGCAACAGAAAGTTGGTATGGCATCTAAATAGACTCAATGTATCAACTATCATTTCTGTCACCACCACCATCATCATCATCATCATCATCATCATCATCATCATCAATCATCATCATCGTCATCCTTGATCATCATCATCATCATTTTAACAAATCAAGTTTTTGTTAAAATTTACATTGTGGAAGGGGACGTTTAGATAGTATACCTACTAAGTCTTTCTGCATTGTAAAAGATGACAAGGCCTGCTAGAAATGCTGCTGGAAATTTCCAGTCAATAACTAAAATGAAAAGAGATTAACAACATAATTATTTACCTTCTTCATGCACAAAAGTAAGGTGATCTAAAAAGGCTTGCTTTTTTGCTGAAATGGAATCATATCATTATTGTCTGCATGGTTTAGATTATTGGGTTGAAGCAAGTTTTTTTTATTATCCTCGCATAAACTCCACATTCTTCTGATTGGGTGAGCGTTTATTATTTTGATGGTGGTGTTCAAGGATATTAATTAGTGGTGGTATTTAATTAATCAAATACAGTACGTCACTAACTTTGAATGCTATGGACATATTTATTTCAAATCAAACAACTTTGGTAAAAACTTTAAAATACAGGTGAACTACCATTTATTTCTTAAGATTTTACAAAAAGAAGTTTGAATTTTCTTTTTGAATTTGCTCTTTGGCCATTGTTAAGTTTGAAAGGGTATTATCATGGATATTTGTCATGACCATAAAATTAAATTTGTAGAATCACCTTGAAACTCAGCTTCTATTGACACATCCTGTTTTTTCCCAAATTCCACTGCAAAGCATGAAGTTTTGAATGGTGACTGCTTGAATGTGATTTGATCCTGTATGTTAGTGCTTGTCACCAATGACTGAAACACAGATCCCCAAGTTTTATTGGCTGGGTTGAGTGCATGGCAGCTGTCAAGTAAAACAAAAATAAAAAGACTGTTTTAAAATTACTGATTAAAGTAGAAAACACATGTGAGGAGGCAATGCATGTAAGCGTATTAAAATGGCTCATTTACAATGCACTACATAAATACATGTAATAATGATCTGAATGTAGTGATCCAGTAATAATTAATATATATGAATGTTGCTATAACTGTAAAATCAAACAATAATAAATACTATACCCCTTTAACACTAGGCTCGATTTCCACCCCTCTCTTAGTCCTCCCCGAGAAGAGATGGCTAGATGAGTGAGTGGCCCATTGTGTCTGTGACGTAATTAAAATTTATGCATCTTTAAGAAACGTCAAAAATGGGAAATGTCATTAAATACTGAACATAATGTTGTGCTTTGCCTCGTCTTCACTTTGGCATTTGCCATAAGAATCAGCAGAAACATGTACTGATTGGATTTACATTGACCTTGCTTACTGGTGGACTTGACAGTTGTCTCTTTCACGATAGCTGCCAACAACCATCATTCATGTAGAAAGGAAATAATTATTGATCCAGTGAACCCGTTGGTTGAATTTCAAAAACATACCTACTATTTGCCCGCTTCTCTAAGCTAATACTTTTCTTTGTAAAAATGTTAGGTTTTTAAGCTGAAAACGCTCTAAAACACGATTGCACGCCAAATCAAACAACACCTAAGTTTGCATCCGCCGTTTAAATTTACTCCAGGAAAATAAAATGATTTATGCTGCCTGCTTGATTTGAGCAGGCAACGATAATAATAATAGTGGAAACTTCATTTGTGTTTTTGAATGTACAATTGTAAATCCTGCTACGTATAGGCAATTTACAAAATTAATGCTGCCTGAGATTGGATGATTAAAAAAAACAAAACAAAACAAAAGCAGAAAAAAAAGAAGACAAAAGAAATCAAAATAATAATAATAATAATAATAATAATAATAATAATAATAATAATTTAAACATATTTATAGAGGATCGCTGCATCAGTTTTAAGAAAAAACTGCAATCAATGCAGGTCCTGAAAAAAAAAGGTTAAAAATATGGATAAAAAAAATTACAATAGTATAAAATAGTTACATTAAAAGGAAGAGTCGAACAGTTATAAATTCTAAAAGTTATTAAAAATTTTTGCACCTTTGTAGAAAAAAGCGTGCTTGGTGCATTCTAAGTTAACTTTTTCTAAAATAAGGTCATTAATATTTCTAGTTTTGTGGCGGTGAATGTCACGGTTTCTTACATTAAAATAATTAAAAGGGTATCCGGGAACTCTATTTGCAATGCACTGATTAACAAATCTTAAAATGTGTGTCCGTCTTCTATAATAGAAAGGTTCCAATTTGATCAGTTGATAGTTTTGAGGCAGCTTTGAAGTAGACAGTCCTCGCTGCTCATCTTTGTAGTCCTTCAATCTTGTCATTGTTTCCTTGTCCACAGTCATGCCACACAGCATCACAATAATCTAGAACCGGGGAGACCATGGCTTTATAGAGTCTATTTGAAGCTTACAATATTGGTGGTCATTAACAGTAGCAAGCCCATGTGTCCAGCTGTCTGTTCAGGGGAGGACCGCGGGTTCATTTCCCAAACAGCTGCTGGTAATTGAGCCTACTTTAACGCCAACAGTGTTTCTCCCCATAAAATCACTGGTAAGACACTTTCAATACAAGTGACTACTAGAGCAACTTGTATACAATGAACATGCCAACTGAATTAAGAAATGTTTAAGGAATTAGTGCAACTAGTCACCATTTTGTTGTGGAAAAAAAATGAACTTACCTATCAGCTTCATAAGATTGAACATCAGTTTTTTCAAATCGAAGAGCAACTACCACGCTGCCCCACAAGTGTGACAGTGAGACATCCCTACCCGATACACACATTTTCATGTTTTTTGCTTGGAACTTGGAAAATTCCAGCTTTCTTGATAGATCTAAAATGGAGATGTCTGAAGAAGACAAATTATCAAATTACTTTGTTGTGTTTCTGGTAGGGCTTGAAAAAAGCTCTAGCAGCTCTTTTATTTTGCTTGCCCAGGGCCATTGCTTGCTTACCTTAGCTAATGTTTTAAGTACTAGATGACTTGAATGGACCTTTGCCCATTGGACAAGTGACGAAAAAAGATTATTATACACTTAATGTCAGATCCCGAGGGAAACAGTTAGTTTTGTTTCCCCAGGAGTCATGATGTTTCCCGCGACGAAGTCGAGGGAAACATCAGGACTCGAGGGAAAACAAAACTAACTGGTTTCCCGAGGGACCTGACGTTAAGTGTTTTATTATATTTCTAGACTTTCACTTTAACAGCAACAAAAGAATAACCGGAGCCAACCAAAACAGTCGACTCGGTACTTATAGCACCACAAATTTTAATTCTTAAAACCACTGAATGAATGATTTACATGATGTGTCACGCCACTTTCCACCATGCTTTGATCACGTGCTGTAATGTAGCCTAAGCGGGGTACATAGCTTAATGTATCATGATTGGGATACATTTGATTTTAGTCAAGGCCACGTGACCTAGAATCAACCAATGGTAGTCCCTGTTTAGTTGAGTGAAAGTCTAGGAATATAACAATGTTTCTTACCCAACTTTACAAGCAAATCTACTAAATGTCCTGGAAAACAAGACAGGAATTTCTTCACGCCCTGAGTTAATGGGGTACGTGGCTTTACCACGCATAAATGTTTAGTAAAAATGATACAGGTATTTTGGATTGAAAAATTATCTGACTGTTGCATTTCATCCTGTCCAGCTTTGCCATCAATAAGTTAAACATTACAATGTTTTTATCCAATGTTACAAGGGTGAGACTGAGAAAAAAACCTTAAGTTGTCCTTCATTGAATTATAAATTGTTGGAATAAATAATGAAATTTGTTTTACGTGCCATCACGGCACAATGATCCTTTTTTTTTCATTGTTATTTTTTTATTGTAATGTCTTTATTGTAATGTCCTTTTATTGTAATGTCTTTGTAGCTCCGCTTAAACGAGCAGAGGCGCTGGGCCGAGGGGCAAATTTCAAAATTGTTTTAACTCTTTTCTCGATCTCCATTTTCAGAATTACTCATAATTCTGTCTTAAGTCAACGCAAAAAGTGTAAATACTTACTTTCGCAATCGTTACTCGCTTTGGCAAACAAAAGTATGCAAAATGCGCCATAAACGTAAAGAGCTTTCCTTGCCATGTGTGCCGCCATTTTCCTACAGGATCATACATGAAGTACGTACCAGGGAGTACCAGAAATCCGCTGCTCAAAAACGGCTCAGACAAGGAAGGGCGGGAAATCTCTCTAAAGCCTTTTAGTAAAGTCACGAGTCCATTTAATACTTCTAACTAGAGATACATGTCTAGCAGAACCCAAATAATAAGACTGAAAGGCCAAC